CAGGAGGACGATTAGGGTCCTCAAACAAAGCCTTTGGCCCAAAAGCCTAACTGCAAGGCAGCGGTGTTTGGCGGGGAAATGCAATTGCATTACCTTTTCTACGGAACAAGTCACCATACATGTTCTAACCCCCAACCTGGAGGGCCAGGAGACTGTGTTCGTCAGACTTCTAACTACTGACCAACCAGGTATAAAAGACTGTGAGTGTCGCGGGACACTCCCCATTATAGCTCAATGGATCGCTGAGGTGAGCAAACCGTCACACTACGGTAAGGTTCAGTCTCTTCGTGACAGCACTCTATGCAGAAAAGCCGAGAAGCTTCTCGAGAAGTGTGTTGTTCCCCAGTTCGGAGTTGAGAAAACACGGAATTGGATAGTATATGACACGGCACAAAGGAATTACGGTTGCTACGAAAATTCCGGGTGCTGCTGGTGCTGATCGCCTTCCAGAAAAAGGTTCTTGTAACTCCCTGTGCTCGGCTGGAGACATTGAAAAATATAGTAGCTAACCGATGCCAGTAGCGTCCGTGCTGTCAGGTTCTATCCACAGTATCTGACGGGGCGTTCGACTTGTATGCAATATGTAGGCGTGACAGACTATCCCTAATCCCCTCACTCTACCATTCTCCTCTTCATTATAGAACTTTGTTTTAACAAAAGGACACAACTGTAAGGCATTTTGACTAGTGCTCTTCTCTGGTGTTGCTCTCAGGGACGATGGCGATGATGGTGGTGTATTGGGTATATTGGGTCTACTGCTTCGGTTCGTAGGCCTCTTTCAATGCTGTAGCGTTGAACTGTGTATTGGTGATGGCTAGTCCCATAGTGACACACGGCCGTTTACATTCCAATTCCGAGCGATCTGATTACTCTGTTCCATGTTTGTCACGTCCGATCCTGGCGTTGAGATCAGCCATAGCCTACTCCTTGGACTCTTATCGCTGTGCTCACAGGAAGTGCGTCTTGGGCGGCATCGGTCTGCTGACCGTATTAGGTAGTATGCCAGCGGCCGTCGTCAACCGTTCGGCGGTCGCGGTGTGTTTTCTGGCACCTACCTTCTCCAAACCGTCTTTCCTTTAGGAAAAGCTGCACCACTGCTTCCACAGGTATGGAAGTGTCGGTCACCCGGTCTGACACCTTAGTGCACCTGTTACAGCAAACAGTAGGATTCTGCATCCATCTGCTTCGCAGTATAATTCATCTCAGCACAGAGAATCGTCGTTCTGTCTAGGAGCTCTCATGACATGGTTATACTTTGAGGGATGAAATTTCAGTCTCAGTGACCTGAAAGACCATTGCAGCAGCAAGATCCGGCTTTTGCTCGGAATATATATATATATAATTTTGATTTTAGTGGGTGCAATAGTTAAACACATTCCTTCGTCAATGATCCTACTACAAGTGCACACGAGTATACCGCAGTTGCGAAATCAAATTGCTGTTGATGGCCAGCTTTTATTGATCACGGCGCATATGCGTGTATATAGAAGACCGATAGTACAACGCAGGTTTTTATGGCGATAAATAACCCCAGTGGATGATAATGATGAATGACAGCTGCCAAACAGATGCCTTTGGACCGTTGGGATATGTTCCACAGCACATGTTCTATGTAACATACGTAATAGAGGATAGCGAGATATATGTGCACATTAGTGAACAATGCACCACGCACAGTATCCGTTATTGAAAAAAGTATCCAACTTGGGGCGAGAAATGTTTGTGATCGAAACCTTTGGTATAACCCTGATTAGTAAGCCTCCAGAGTGAACGCCCGAGGATGTTCTGACTGCCCATCAACCTCGTATGAAGGGTGATAATTACTTGGGAATTACGGCACACCACCAACATCCACAAGCCAGTATGATTGGGGGGACAGAGTACATGACTCATTGTGCGATCATGCCTTGTCAGTGAAAGGGACTACATTCACATGTGGCACACAAAGAGGGATAGTTTTGGAAGCTCGTGACGGAGTTAAACAGATTGTATAGTGCTAAGAAGAGCTCATCAAACGAATTATCTGGTTGCACTGTTTTCTACCACTAGAAGCCTGATTAGACATGACGTGCTGATGACGATCAGTTTGTGCCTTAATAACCATTCGATGTTCGTCACCGTTTAATGTTGTTTCTGTTTTCGTTATTATTATGGCGCATGTCTGAGTCATCAGTGCAGAGCAGAAGAACTTCCACGCGCAAAAGGGAAGGTTCTGAGTACTTCAAGATTGGCTAATGGATGGTTTTACGGAAAATGAGCTTATAAACTTCCCTGATAATCCACTTTTCGAATGTAAACTGCTCGACTGCGTTGCTTGTTCATTGGCCTGAACAACTTTTTCCTGTTCTCCGTCCGAGTATTACGTCCACTGTTTTCTATAGGGTCTTGTGTGATTGCTGTCGCGGATAGCTTGTTGGAGGCGCGCTGAAGCTCTTATTTTTATTCTCTTGCGGTAATCTTTATTCTTACCGACCGATCAGGCGAAATATCTACTTCGATTACAAGCGCCCTCGCCCTTAGTGCTTAGGCTATCTTAGATTTTCCGATGAGCGCACTGGCTGCGTGCATGTGAACTGTGCACAAATGGATTACGGAGCAGGAAGTTCTCAAGCAGATGTAATGTGTATTAAGATGAATTATAACCTGCTTCCAATAATGGGTGATGGAAGTTTCATAGTGGATGCATCAAGTGAATTCCATGAGAACATCATAAACGAGAGATTCAGCTGGGTTCCAGATGAGTCTCTCGAAAGAACTAAATTAGTTTGTAGATGAGTGCGTATTCGCTAATTCCATGAGTGAAGTTTTTTTGGGGACACAACTAGTCAGGTGACTCGTGTAAACTTCATGTGGACGGTTGAAGCTTGTATACCGGTAGGATAAATACACAGCATTCAAGAACGAGGTCTCGCTTTGCCTCAGGATTCGTAAAGGAACTAGTTCTATGTCCATTTCTGTCAGCCTGCGACAGAATGCCAACCGCATTCTGTATCCAACAGGATTTTATAACACTTCTTTTATTTGTCCCCCCAAATCTCAGCACCTTTTATTTCTCGTCCGTGACTGGAGTTTCCCTTACGACTATGAATTTGGCAGCATCGGTGGCAACAGACTCCTGGATGCCAGACTGAATTTCATTCTCAGTGACCTGAAAGACCATTGAAGCAGCAAGATCCGGCTTTTGCTCGGAATATATATATATATATAATTTTGATTTTAGTGAATAGTATAGTTAAACACATTCCTTCGTCAATGATCCTACTACAAGTGCACACGAGTATACCGCAGTTGCGAAATCAAATTGCTGTGCCAGCTTTTTGCAATAGTTAAACACATTCCTTCGTCAATGATCCTACTACAAGTGCACACGAGTATACCGCAGTTGCGAAATCAAATTGCTGTTGATGGCCAGCTTTTATTGATCACGGCGCATATGCGTGTATATAGAAGACCGATAGTACAACGCAGGTTTTTATGGCGATAAATAACCCCAGTGGATGATAATGATGAATGACAGCTGCCAAACAGATGCCTTTGGACCGTTGGGATATGTTCCACAGCACATGTTCTATGTAACATACGTAATAGAGGATAGCGAGATATATGTGCACATTAGTGAACAATGCACCACGCACAGTATCCGTTATTGAAAAAAGTATCCAACTTGGGGCGAGAAATGTTTGTGATCGAAACCTTTGGTATAACCCTGATTAGTAAGCCTCCAGAGTGAACGCCCGAGGATGTTCTGACTGCCCATCAACCTCGTATGAAGGGTGATAATTACTTGGGAATTACGGCACACCACCAACATCCACAAGCCAGTATGATTGGGGGGACAGAGTACATGACTCATTGTGCGATCATGCCTTGTCAGTGAAAGGGACTACATTCACATGTGGCACACAAAGAGGGATAGTTTTGGAAGCTCGTGACGGAGTTAAACAGATTGTATAGTGCTAAGAAGAGCTCATCAAACGAATTATCTGGTTGCACTGTTTTCTACCACTAGAAGCCTGATTAGACATGACGTGCTGATGACGATCAGTTTGTGCCTTAATAACCATTCGATGTTCGTCACCGTTTAATGTTGTTTCTGTTTTCGTTATTATTATGGCGCATGTCTGAGTCATCAGTGCAGAGCAGAAGAACTTCCACGCGCAAAAGGGAAGGTTCTGAGTACTTCAAGATTGGCTAATGGATGGTTTTACGGAAAATGAGCTTATAAACTTCCCTGATAATCCACTTTTCGAATGTAAACTGCTCGACTGCGTTGCTTGTTCATTGGCCTGAACAATTTTTTCCTGTTCTCCGTCCGAGTATTACGTCCACTGTTTTCTATAGGGTCTTGTGTGATTGCTGTCGCGGATAGCTTGTTGGAGGCGCGCTGAAGCTCTTATTTTTATTCTCTTGCGGTAATCTTTATTCTTACCGACCGATCAGGCGAAATATCTACTTCGATTACAAGCGCCCTCGCCCTTAGTGCTTAGGCTATCTTAGATTTTCCGATGAGCGCACTGGCTGCGTGCATGTGAACTGTGCACAAATGGATTACGGAGCAGGAAGTTCTCAAGCAGATGTAATGTGTATTAAGATGAATTATAACCTGCTTCCAATAATGGGTGATGGAAGTTTCATAGTGGATGCATCAAGTGAATTCCATGAGAACATCATAAACGAGAGATTCAGCTGGGTTCCAGATGAGTCTCTCGAAAGAACTAAATTAGTTTGTAGATGAGTGCGTATTCGCTAATTCCATGAGTGAAGTTTTTTTGGGGACACAACTAGTCAGGTGACTCGTGTAAACTTCATGTGGACGGTTGAAGCTTGTATACCGGTAGGATAAATACACAGCATTCAAGAACGAGGTCTCGCTTTGCCTCAGGATTCGTAAAGGAACTAGTTCTATGTCCATTTCTGTCAGCCTGCGACAGAATGCCAACCGCATTCTGTATCCAACAGGATTTTATAACACTTCTTTTATTTGTCCCCCCAAATCTCAGCACCTTTTATTTCTCGTCCGTGACTGGAGTTTCCCTTACGACTATGAATTTGGCAGCATCGGTGGCAACAGACTCCTGGATGCCAGACTGAAGGTAAATCGAAATTTTGTTGCTCCTGGTTGGGACCACTTTGCGAACCTTTTGTTGGGTATTGCGTTGTACTGCCTAATAACTTTAGATGTTCGGATAGTGCTGCTGATTCCAGCTCCCACTATGTAGGGCCGAGGCTAAGGATTTCGTGGTGATTGCGACTGAGTGCTTTGATCCCAAAATATATTCCAATTTTGCTACGTTTGTATGGGATCAGTCAGCTTGCTTGACAGTATTAAGAACCATTACAAACTTTCGCAATTTCTGACTGTTCTGAGCTTTCGAAGGTTTCTACTCTTCAATGTTCTCATTCGGTGTATCTTCCCCTTCAACCATATTTTTTGGCTGTCCAACTCAAAGTTACTGTGAGTTACTGTTCTCTGTGTAAGCTGCGAGGTATTTCCCGCGCGTTCTTAATATTTTACAAGTCAGAATAAGGCGTATTTGATATTTCATGTCACACAGCACATACTGTTTTCAGAATGCGCCTCAACCAAATGATGAGCACGTTCAGAGAACGGGGTTTCGTTGACGGGCACGTTATTAGTGACTAATCTATTGTGTGCAAGCTATGTGTGGTGTTTCACTCGTGTTTATTTGGACTACAAAGGACTTTTGAATTGATAGTCAGATACTCTGTACAGTTGAAAACAACAAATGCAGTACAAAGATATGAGATCATTAAGAACACGTGAAGAAGGGGCAAACACACACGAGCAAGAAAGACAGAAAGGTCTAAACAGGTAAGTGTTAACCCGGGACCTGAAAATCTGAAGGTTTCGAAAAATCGGAAAATCTTGGGGGCGGGGGAAGCAAGTTCCAAAACCTGGGAACAAGAAAAGATTATCAATCCTGTGCAAACATCACGGCATTTGGAGCCAATTAGGCTGACTGGCCGCAGGTGAATTGTCTTGAACATTTATCGTGTCAATAGCGGTAGATAGGAAAAGAGCTGAAGGTCGTCGGTCGGTTGAGAAGGGGTTAAGAGATGAACTCCGTCAAGTAATGAAAGGTGAAAAGGCGATCTCTCAGACGTGGCAACAGTATTCAATGTAGGTATGAATCTGAGAATTGTAGATGAGTGGCAACTTGGACTGCCTGTGTGATTGTGGGGAATCGAGTGAAAACAAGTGGCTGAGGAGTCAAGTTCAGCGTGAGCACTAAATTTAATAGTTGTTAGTAAAAGCGACATAATTCGGGAGTTGAATGTGCAAATGTCCCGGAGGTTTGAGTCTCCATCATTAGCAAGTGAGGACGAAAAACTGTCTTCGTACTCTTGTTTTCAGCCGCGTGCATTGCAATATGCGATGGACGAGCTAGAGAACTAGGGCAATTATGTGTCTCGTGTCAACCGACCACGCGACCAGTCAATTATTGTCTACCACTTGGCTTGATTAATCCGCCAAAATACCGGACCCAACTTAGTTCCCAGACTTTTATACATGAAGCGGAGCTATCGGTTTACTCCGCAGGCTAACGCACATGGTTATGGTACTGCTGTCCATTTAACCACGTGTAACTAAGGCTACATCAAGGCCAAGTAGAAAAACGGTGATTGGCTTGTATGGGTTTCACTGTGTCTGCTGCCAGATAATGTTGCAAAAGTAAACAGAAATCGTGAGATGCGCACATTTTAAATAACCCCATCGACTACTACAATATCAAATCAAATTAAACTAAATCAAGATATGCGTGTGACAACAACGACTGTGGGACGAATTCCAGGTGAAAGCCAAACCACCACTGAAACGTTTGATGATTGATTATCACAGCGGAGTGACCTTGAGTTATTCAGCTGTTACCGCACATTTTTTCTATCCCCTTCCATGTAACATGATGTCACAGCGATTGAACTATCGGAAACGTGTGTAAACATTTGAAATAAGGATAGTACCAGCTAGTTCCTCACACGTTCGGCTTCTTTAGTGTGCCCGATTCAGATGCTCCCTATATCTGGTTGCTCCAGGGCAAGTACACTTCAAGCTTTGTCACTGAACTGTTCGAAACGCTATGAACATTCGGTCATATTTACCACATTGAATTGGATGTACTTCAAAACATTTGCACAACTGTTCGCATGAAGTAGATTGCTCTGGACTATTCACCCTTCCCCCGCTCATATTCCGGGCGACAATGATGTCACCTTACTGATCTGCATTCCTTTGTTAACCAGAACACCATATTTCCAACAAGTTTTATATCTTGACCGTGATATTTATCAGTACTTCTGTTTTCGATCGTGTGGTTCAATACTCCCTACGGTAGCAAGTACGGCGACTTTGGCCAGCACATCTATGCTGTCGCCGCTCCTTATTAGGGTGTTGGCAACTTTTCTTGGTTGTTTATGTGTGTGTGATGACATGTATGTCGACGGTCTTTTGCTTTGAATTCTATTTCCTTATGTACCCGTTTTGTGGCGATTAGCTTACCGGGTCTTCACGCCGTGTTCACACGGTCTACCAGCCAATCAGAATGCACAAGGTATATTTTCGTTGACCAGTCTCTACCCTTACGCCAGCCTTCCGCTTGTTTCGGGTTGATCCTCCACTTTTTCGGCAGTTTTTGCGAGTGTGTTGCTTGTCTCTGTCCCTGTTAGGGTTGGTGGTTGACACATTACCCTGTGGAGCCAGTTGTTTTCCTGTAGTCAGAATCATATGAGGTTCGTTTCTTTGCAGTATTTTCTCTATCGATGGTTTTTTACACCATAACGGCAAAAACTTTGGGTTTATCGTCCTCTTCCCCTTAATTTAGAACAATAGGTTCTTACTTGGTCATGTATGGTGGCTTTTTTAACGTTGTGATTTAGACTTCTGGCTTTAATCACTAAGACTGTTAGCATTGTGGGTGATTCCCCCTCCTAATAAGTAGTATGCTAGGAAATATGGCTAAATGTTTGGGAGTATCATAAATGTGTGATGTGTTGTGGTCTTGTTACCAGCTGAGGTCTTCTCGGATGGGAACCTCGGGACGGGACACACCAATAGTTGGTGACGCTGACAGATGCATTTAGCCCATCGACTTCCATTCCTGCCCCTCGAGTAAAGTCAAATCACGTGACTTGAATCAACCCGTTCGGCCGTTGTTAGCCACAGTTTGGCCGTTCTCCCTGTACTCGCCATGTATGGTAATCTAAACTGGACCAACTTTCAACGGTCTGCAGTGGTGCAAGGTTAAAAACTGGAAAATGGAGTTTTTTTTGTTTAAAAAGTCATGGTTGGTGTTTCGAAGCAAGCCCGGAACGGCGTTGAACAGAAGATTTTCCAATTCCAGAAGCCTAAGCAAAGAATGTCAGTATAGAATGTCCGAATGATTTTGACGGTTTTTTTCCTGTTGAATTGCTCTCCAACATCCTTGACAGTTCAAGGGCGAAACTTGTAACCAGTAGTCAGTAGTTAGGACCCAACTCTGGATTTTCGATTACTGCTGTCTAGGTTTAGGTGACCTGACAGTATCTCAGCTGTCGTACATCCTTTTCAGGCTGTACGGCAACTGTGCATCGAGTGTATATTGTACTCCTGTAGTTATTTGAAACAAAGGGATAGGTTTGCAGCCTAGACTACTGGAGTGGCGAACTACCTAAGGCTCTTATAGGTTGGACAATAACACCTTTCCGGAGGATGTACTAGTCCTTGCGACAACACGATGGGGTTCTTTTTCAGGATTTAGGGATTGTTTTTTAGTCGGATTTATTCACGCAGCAGAAACCTGAGCCATCACCCTCTTCACTTTGCGTTGTCGTTGAGTCCTAAGGGTCGTTCAGCTGTAACACTTTCGATGCTTGGCTGTCCTAGTCTAGATAGGAGCCTTCGAGATGCCCGGGTTAAAGTAAAGCCACGGTTTTTAAGTTTGCGCCTTAAACATAACTATCTTGAACTTTGTTAAAGCCTGTCCGGTCATCTAGCCAGAAAAAAAAACATTTCGGTGAGTCAGCGCACTAAAATGAACTCAACTGTTTGTCCAGCCTGGTTGGTATGAAGTATTTTGTTACTCTGATGCTTCGTTCTTTTGGCAACATTCGGCCGATTTTGACTGGAAATGATTGTTGTTTTTACCTTCCCCTTGCCAACACCAATGAAATCTCTTTCCTTTGATTTCTATATCCCCGACTTTGGGGTACACGCCCAACCGTTTGGGATACAGTTCCTAAAGCGCCACGCAGATTGCTGTTCGGTCACACTGCTGACCACCTTCTTTTTTATAGTTTCAGTAGGAAGAGTCCACGCGCCTCACTCACAACTACATACGGATAACTATTTTCACTAAGAATACAGCAAACCTATGGTGAATCTCGAGTGACACGCCCCAGAGGGCGTGTCTGTCCACAGATTTTCGGTTGCTTGTAAATCCTGTCAGTGGCTTAGCCATTTTGCTTCTTTTACAATGCATGAAAGCTGTGCTTTGATTCCACTTCGATCTCGGCTGTCCAACCCGACCAAAAGCTGCCACTTTTGAGATCTTTGGGTTCGTAATGTGCCGGGACGTTTGCTCACGGACGTGGAGTGCACAGGTGATATTGCTGTCCTTGATTCAGCTCCTTCAGAGATGCTAGTTATTTTTATATATTTTTAGTAATCCTGCCGTGCATGTTGGGATGCGCTTCGGACCCTCGAAGTTTAAACTGCTCTCACAAGACTCGGTGGGATAGAACACAAACCCGGTGCCTGCAGGCCAGTCACTTGACGCGGTAAGAGAATTTGCCTAGGTAGTTGTGAAGGTTCCGGTAGACCTGCTGAAGAAGATATCACTTCTGGAATCGTGAAGACTAGGCAGATTTTGCCAACTTTTGATACTTATGGCGCCGGTATGACATAAGTTTGTCAGTCAAGGGCTGGGTATACACTGCGGCAGTGCGACCCATACTGTTTTAGGGATCAAAAACGTGTCATCTACATACAGAGAACTGTCTGCGAGACATATGCCATGTCTGGTGGGAGCAGCCAATTAGCAGCGCTGAGGTACACCAAAAGATTTTACGATTCATAGAGTACGCTGTTTAGGGCGTATGCTTCGCGTGTCAGAAGACCGTCCCTATCACAATGCTCTTTTTGCCCCGACCTGTACTGAGTAGAGACAACCGTAAGACAGACAGTCTACGGCCTGGCAACAATGTCTAAAAGTATTAACCGGTAAAGTCAGTCATCATCATCGTCACTGACAGCAATACACTTGGAGTACATACTGGTGCTTAACCACCATACAACCACGGGGGGCGTAGCCAACAGTGGAAAGAAAAGGGGAGGTATGGACTTCATGCGAATAAGTTCTGTTACTAAGGATGACTATGATGGATCTGTGCCTCACGTCGCGTTGGCTACTTCTATCTCCCTGAGTGGGGACGCTGGGACCCCACTCATCGATGCTAAATTACGGTGACAGACGTGGTTCAACCGCACAGTGAGTGGAGTTCCTTTATCAAAGCTATCACCTTCAATGTGTAGCTGTCAATTTTCTCACTTCAGACAACTAAAATGATACAAGGCTGACATATACTCGCCTCCAGTGTCTGATTGTATCTCCTCGTATGTCTCTCTTCCCATAACTGGAACTAGCAGCTGGAACCAACATACCCTCGCTACCTTAGGTCCGTACGTTTAATACGTATCTATGGATGTAAGGTGAACGTCTGGCTTAATATCTGACAAATTGCATTTCGGTAATTGTTTCAACGTCCAACAGCAGTCAGCGCTGATCAGCACCCGCAACAATTGGTTTCCTGCTGGAGTTTATTTATACAGTTCTAGTGGAGACTAAATGGTCCCAGAAAGTGGCCTGATGAGTTCTCTTTATCCTTCTTCGTTTTGCTAGCTTCCCCCGTACTTTGTTGCTGAATAATGCTTTCTTATATCAGGGGCTGCCTTGATTGAAGGGCTTTTCAAGAACTTTTATATTTAATCCTGTTTATCTATTCTGACCAGCTTAACAGCCGTTGTATGATATTTCCAAACAGATGGAAATCCCCATTATCGAACCCAGTCGTCTAGAACTATCCCATGTTCGTTGACGAATCCAGGTTAGAATTCCATCCCCTTTCTCTGTGTAAGGATGTCCTTAATTTTTGTGCGGTCTACCCGCAAATTACCTTCGAGGGACGTTTTTTGATAGTATCAATATGTATATTCATTCGTTGTATGCACATCCTGCCAGCTACTAGCTGTTTGTATTTCAGCAATAGTACCAAAACCCACGTGTTCCGTTTTTACTGTTGTACTGTCACTTTAGATTTCCCTATCGATCAGGTCAAACACATCTAAGCAAATCGTTCTGTCCCTAAACACTGGTCGAAAGTTCTACATAAGCAGTCAAAATTCACTACACCAGTAGCACAACTGTAGACAGCTGTTTCGGCTTGACAACTTGGACAGGAGTTTTTTATAGATCGCTTCATGGAGTGGCGACTCTAGTTGTTTCAAGTTTTTACATCCCAGATAAGTTCTAAAATTACCACTGACTTGTCTTTCCCCCAATCCTGGTATGCGCTCTTTCGCTAAACTTCATTAGTGCAGTCAGACCGTGTGACACGTGCTATTCGGCATGCTTGGTGTTCCTGGTGGTCCGTCGAGTGACGTCTTCCCCACGTGAGATTTATCTCTATCACTGATTTATTGTGAATCGATTGGAGAAGCGGATGTTTCGTGGCGAAAATTTTAAAACGGGAAATTGATGGAGCTCCGTGTATTCGCTTTGTCATCGTCTCCGCCGACACTTGGTTAACCGGTTAATACCTCTCAACCGGTGTGATTCGGCTGCTGTTCAGCTTGTCGTTCAAGGCTGTTCTCTGTTGTTTAACACTGACAATGTGTGGCATCAGGATGCGTGCACGTACAACGTAACGCAAACACTTACTACGAGTCCCACTGTATATTCTCTTCTTCCTAATCGGTTCTGAGAGCCACTTGCCATTCGTGTACGTCTTGTACGACAGAACGAATATCTCGTTTCTGCGATTTCAGTTCATTCAGTCCGAGTCTCAAGCGAATGTAAATCTCCAGAACCCAACCACACGACAGTGCCTTTTATACTCACAACCAACTTGGTAGCATTATGTATCGGCCTATTTGATTGGCCAATCATACTCTTTTTTCGAACAAAGTATTCTAGCTCTATTTTCGCCTGCTTTTGATTCTTTCAAGTTAATGAACTGAATAAGTTGTGGACATCTACGAAGATTCTCGACTGAATCTTGCTTGTTATTTTTCGCCAGGATGTTCTACACACATACCATCTCATGGTTCAGGTGGATCGATATTCAAGGCATCGAAGTGTTTTTTGTCATCTGACATTAATACGGTTGACGAGTTTTCATCGGTCTTGTAAATAGTATATCGCATACGGGATTGTCTTTCCAAGTCCGGATATTGGAGTCCTGTTTTGGACTCACTAAGTGAAGTACCAGATTCGCAAACAGCTTTCACGTCTTTTGCTGATGACCTAACACGTGTGCGCAATTTTCAAGACGGAAGCCGGCAGCCAATTTTAAGGCTACCGTGAATGGATTCGAACCCGAGTTGTCGAAACGGAAGTCCGTGATGGTAAGCGCTGAGCTACTCGAGCGCAGACTCAGGCTAAAGAGCTAGCCTACTGCATATTGATGATGTACAAATCCTGAATCCTCCTGGGTCTGGTAGAAATTCTCGGTATTTTCTTCAACCCCCTTAGGGTTTCTGGGCTGTTGTAATCAATGTCCAGAGGAGAGGATTTGTTCTTCATATTCACATTTCTCCGAAGAGGGACCGTCCTTTAGGTCGGCTGACCTCTCACACTGCCAAACAACCCAAGTAACTACAAGAAGGATAAGCCACTGTTCATTGCTTGTCACGTTACTGTAGTATATCTGGCTATCGCACTGAAACCGACCAGCTTCTCTCATTCTCCAATCTGTTTTTCATGAGTATTGTGCTCTCCAGTTGTATGGGAGTGAGGTGATGTCGTCCCTATGTGAAATGAAGTATAATAGGCTTTATCAGCTCTTATTTTCCCTCTTTTTAGATTCAACCCAGTCATCACACCGAACACGAGACTGTCCGGCGCCACATTCGCTCGTGTTTCTCTCGCGTCTCCTGTTTCCTACTACCTCATCCTGGGTTAAAGGTTGCCACCAATCCGAAATTCGATGGCCGCCTATCTGACATAGACGCACAGTTTTTAAACGAACTTCGCGTTTTCGTTCCTACTGTCCTCTCTCCTGCAACGCTGCAACTGAAAAAAATCAACGGTGAGAAAATCACGTGTCGTGAGTTGCTCACCTACTTCAAGGCTTACATGGAGATCTATCAGGGTGATACACTACCCGAGCCACGCTCGATGCTCGAAGCGACTGCAGAAGCAAATAATCTGAATGCAATCATGGCTTGCCAGGACGCTTACACCGAAGCTATGAATAAAGTAAGTTTGTTGTTTTGCGGCCATCCAAACTACTGGTTCATCAGAACCGGATGGAACTCAAACTTGCGGTTGGCAACTTGCCACTGACTGGGTTCTATCGGTGGTGTTATCGACTGGGACTGCCGTGTATTTGGCTTGCGAGAACGATATCAAGTGGAATATTTGGGCCTCCACGTTTGCTGCACGTTAGGATAGTAACCTTCTGTGTATTTTGATATTGATGGACTGTAAGCTGATTCGCTCCAGTTGGTGATGTTTTCTCACTCTAAAGAGCTCTGTTCACTTTGGAAAACGATCCCACAACGTTCTGTTGCTACGCTAACTGACCTTGACTCCCCATCGATGAGCGCCTGTATCTTGCTGGAGTTGTTGTTGAACTCCGGGCATCTTACGTAGGGACTGAGCGTGTGCTCACTACTCCGCTGGCCCGATCCGAGTATACATGACTTACTGCGACTACGTAGGCGATCACTTTTACTAGTGATTATACAACCGTCTCGAATACCTAGGGGTTAAAATCACCGCACTGTCAGGGATACACAATGTTTCCTCACTTTGCTGTAGTCAACCAAAGATAATTGTTTCACAACCGGAGGAGTACTGCTCACACCAGAGTGACTTGAATGCGGACTCGACAAATCCCGCACCTATCCATCGGGCATTTATCCTTTTTTTAAGCAGGAA